TTCCTAACAATATTATGAGTAAGTTCCCTTTGTCATGATGAACAAACTAAAATATGGACAAAGCTGTCACCCAGCTGCTTTGTTATACAATGTATAGTCTCAAACTTGAGACTTCGTTTTAAAAGTCGGGCATTCATTGTTTCAAGCTGTTTAGTGCATTCTTTGTCCAGCCTGTTTCTTTGGGGTTCAGCTATTTTTGTATTTCTGGAGCAGTGGGTACATACCCATTGGTAGGGTAACCCATTTAAAGATAAATACTTTATCCCCTCCCCTCAAATAAAACATCTCCATAAACAGTAAAGATAGGGTAAAAGATAAAGATAGAGTAGGAGGTATTCAGTAGGAGGGTAGGAGACCCATGACAGCTCATGACAGTCCCATGAAGTAAGCAAAATGGGTTGTCTGTGTAGGATTTGGCCTAAATGGAAACGCTTAACCGTGATCTAGGCATGTGCCAGGCACAGTTGATTTCCACTGGGGTCCACATCAGTATGGCCACACTGCTTGTTTATTATTAGTGTCTCTTTGGAGGTCAAGCATTCTTCTGGTTAGCCAAGGTTTGAACCATAGTCCATACTAAACTATCTTGAATATCATACTTGCAAGTAAAGTTCCCACTCTTTCTACCTAAAATTCACAGGCAGGAAAGAGTATCATTGGAAGGCAAAAACAGTGGGCCAAGTCAGTAGTCATTGTGTGGGAACTGAGTTCAGAGGAGTGAAATTTAACAAATCCCAGATGAAGAGTGTGAAAGAACTGGGGTAGCAACAACGGGATTCTGTGGGGAGTCGGGCATCAGCTCACCAAAGAAACAGACAGACCTAGGTTTGCATCCCACTTTCTCCTTCTCACTATATGAATTTTGTAAGTTATTTAACTTCCCAGGGTCTCAGCTCAGATGGAGAATGCCAGTAACGATTCTTACCACAAACAGTTGCTAGGGAAATCAAAAGAGATTGTTATCTAGAATGGCATGTGACATAAAGAGTGGATAAAAATGGTATCTGTTATGGTTATTGGTTTCTGATCAGCAGGACTGGGAAGATTAGTCACTTTCTATATTATGACCTATTTAGGCAAGAAGTACAGATTATGAATATCTACTAAAATTTACCTGCTTCCAAAGAAGTTTTTAAAAAAATTTTAAGAAACATTTCCAGGGAAGCTCATTCCATCTTAGCGTACTGTATTTTTCAGGGGTGGTATATCACAATTTCAACAAACTGTTGAGGTTAACTTTGCCCAGATGGGAGCAAACACTAATTCCAGTACATTTAATTTTACTCTATCACTGTATCCCCAGTCCTAGCGCCATGTCCTGTACATGCTAAATGCTCAGTGAGTGTATGTTAAGTGGATGAGTATATGGGTAGCCTTGTTACCAAGTCCAAACTCATTCCACTGGCTGCACGACAGGCCAGTAAATCAGGAGACGAGGTGTTGGGGCAAGAGATAATGACTTTATTCGGAAAGCCGGCAGATGGAGAAGATGGCAGACTAATGTCCTGAAGAGCCATCTTCCCCAAGTCAGAATTCAGACTCCTTTTATACTAAAAAGGAGGGGGGGGGATGCTTGTTGCAAACTTCTTAGTGTTGGAATGCTTTGTTCTTGTAGCTAAGGTGGGTTAGGTCATGTGTTCCGGTAAACCTACAACAAAACAAATGTTATTTTCTATTCTGCAGTTTTTTATCTTTATATAAATGCAAAAATGTTTAATACCCTTAAAGATCAGAGACTTAAGAATAGGCTATCCTGTATATTTCAGGCTCTAGGCAACATTCTTATACAAAAGATGCAGAACCAGCCCAGGAAACGGAGCACAGGGTTAAAGCCAAAGGAACAGATCAAGTATGGAGTCAGATTTGTTCTTTTCTATTACAGCCTGAAAACGGTTACTACCACATTTCAAGTATTGCCTGGAAAATGTAACTCTTCTTTTCTTGGGATGGTTTCACCCTCATTTTAACTCCTTTACTCTTGTGATATTCTCATCGAGGTCCACCTTGTGATATGACCATTTTGTTGTTGTCTTAGATCTCTTACTGAGTTATAAGCTCCTGAAATCAGAGCCCATGTCTTACTATGTCTTTTCTAAAAATCTTAATGGACAGTTGATTCTCAACAAACATGTGCTGGATGTCAAAGTAATCTGTGAAGTGCTGTGTTCAGTTTTAAGATGACTTGACCTGCAGTGGGTGTCTACACTAAGAGCATATCGTCTCTATTTGAGACATGACATCTGCTCTCAGTTTCAGTGGCTTTCTACTAGACCACAAGTGCTTTGCCTCTTGGACTGGCATGGAAAGTGAGAGAGACTCAATTCTCAGAGTCGTACATCTCAAACTTCTGATCATAGTCGTCATCTGTTCTGAGTCACAGTAGCCTTGGCTGCCTCCCCGTAGTCAAGCAGTGGAACAATCTTCATAGCTTACCTTGCCCAGTACTTGCCTCCTGTGGATTGTACCCTCCAAATCATAAAAAGCATCTTGCCTGCTTCAATTGACATTGATGGCGCCTTGCTGTGGAGTGCCAGCTACTGTAAAATACATAATCAGGGCAAAGGGCATGCAGAGATGTAGGGCTTGCAGAAGGTATGAAAGAAAGCACTTCACTTGGCTGAAATGACATCCAGAATCACATCTGAAACTCTACCATGATCTTGACCTTTCTCCCTCCTGGTATGTCCATTTGGCAGAGCACATTCACTCAGAGATGCGATGAATGGAGGGGGTTCTACATCCTAACACAGCAGAATCGTGTGAATTGCTGACATTTAGTTCACAGCACGTACCAGTTGCCCAGTGGGTAGTTAACACAAGGTCTCACAGAAGAAATTGGGATAAGCCAAAGTGACTCGACCTCATGCCCCTGGTTTTCTACAGCTCTGCTTTTTGACTTTTCTTTCTCAGACACTGCTTCTATCAATTTCTTTTCTTCTCTGAATAAGTTTCCTACTTCTTGCTGTGTCTTTGGGTAGGAAAATGTCTATTTTGGAAGCTCTACAAGCTTATTAAGGCAGTTTCTAACACTTCTGCATATTCTCTTGACCAACCAGGAAGTTTCCACTATGCAAAAGAGAACTTGGAGCACAACTCTAAACAACTTGTGGAGAAGGGGAGTTTCATCCTGCCATTTACTCATTAAGGAGATTAGTGGGTAAATTATTGCTCATTCTAACCAAATTCAAAGAGACTGGTGTTTTTTTCATTTTCCATTTCATCTAGGAACAGTATGTTTACAACTAATTTGACTTATACACAAGGAAAATCTAAAATAGCTTTAGAGGACGTAAACTAGGAAAAAATTGTGATGCCTACTATGTTATCTGTATTTTTATATAATGTTTATTGAAATAAAAGTGTATCATCTTTTCCCTATAACCTTATCTAGCTTTCCTTATCATCATATTTATTCTCACAAGTGAAATACTTGGTTATTGTAGGAAAAAACCAAGAAGATCAGCAAAGGACAAATAGGATTTTGTGACTTTGAGTAGTATTTTTAGCATTTCTGTCAACAAGTAGTTTTGAACCCTGAGTTAACAAGTAGAAAATTTCAAGCTATAATACTTCTTAACCATCAAATTATCATAAACAGGAAGTCTCGCTTGAGCAGAGAAACCTGTGGCAAGAGAGCTGTGCCTGTAAATAATGCAAAATTTTCAGTGTTTTTTATCTTTATATGGAATAAGTCTTTTTCCTAATGCTTAAGAGGAATTCTGGGGTACAGGATGGAACCTGATAAGACAAAACAGAGTAAACAGAGTTGAATAGTATGTTTCTCAGACCAGATGATGACAGGCATGATTCTCAATGATAGAAGAACTCATAGAGGTCAGTGTGACTGTTGGGACACCTGGACTGTGTTTAGAACAACGATTCAAACAATGTTGGGGCAAAATATTGTTTGATGCTGTTTTATAATAGATTTCATTGAAACAGATTCTGAGATGAGTTTTATGCAAAAGGTTATTGGGGAGTGGTCTTGGGAGACACACCTGTAAGGAACTGAGTAATGTAGGAATAAGCAGGGGGAAAAACTGGCCCATTGGGCAGTTGAAACTGAGACCTCAGCTATCCTATGGTGAGCTCTGTAACTGGGATGAGCCTTTAGGTGACCTCAAATTGAGGCAAGTTGGGAAAACCTTTATTTCCCTCCTTCAGCATGTAACTTGCTTTATGCCAAGTTCTCAGAGAGGTAAAAAATTGGAAGAGGCCGAGAGCAATGTCCAACAAACGTCACAACTATGCAAGATCAGCCAGCCAACAGTACCACTTGGTGGGGGGCAGTAGGGAAGGGTGCATTGGCCTTGAAGAAGGTATTTGGAGCGCTAGAATATGGATACTAAAGTAGTGGTTCTTAGAGTCTGCCCAGACGAGCAAAATTAGCATCACCTGGAAACTTGTTAGAAATGCAAATTCTCAAGACCTGTCCCAGATCTACTCAGTCAGATATTCCAGGGATGGGACAGAGCAACCTATGACTTAAGCCCTCATGGTGATTCTGATGTAGATTAAAGTTTGAGAACCACTGTACTGGCATGTCTATTATGGGCACCCAGCAAGAGAGCGTCAACAAAAACATATTTCATTATCAGAATAAAATTCTTTGTGTTTAGAATTTCCTTTCTGATAAAAGTGGTCTGATTTCTGCATCTGGTTATTTGTGTTATTTTATGGATTGAAGAATCAGACATGATTTAAGGCTCCAGTCAGTTTGGTTACAATGGCCAATTGTCATAAAATCCCAATGTCAGGGAAGTGTGGGATGCTAGTCTCTGTCATGCTATGCGAGCTCAACCAAAGGAAATTGCTAAGAGGAGTGAGTAAAAAAGACACACAGAGGTGTAAACATCATCTCTGTCTTGTCTTCTATGGGATTGTGAAAACTCCACATCGTGAAAACCTCTGACTTTCATTGGGATGAATTTAGATAGGTATCAAATGTCTGCCGTTTTGCTTTGGAGAGAAAAACAAATACAGTTTTTCTGTTCTTATAGAACATTTATACAAATATTGATGGGCCATGAAGATAACACCAATCCAAGGAAAAAAAATACTGCCAAATGGTAAGTAATATGGTATTTACAAAGTGTGGATTGTCTATAGACCATGAAAATCAGAACATATTTTTAAAATGAGCAAAACAGGAAACTAAAGATGAAAGTGCTTATTCATTAAATCTTGTTTCTGAGTTCAGCTACAAAGTTCATTGCAAAGCCAGTATCCTTGCCTCCAAATACGATTCAGAATGCCCATGTTTTAAAGAGCTCTGAGATTTGCTCTGAGTAAATCCTTAGACACTGCTTCAGTTTATCCAGTCTGGGTTTCTGTATCTGCCTCTAAGAACTGTTAGGAAAAAATAGACCTATGAGACAAAGACTTTTCAGCTTCTCCCATCTCATCTTGATCTCCAGTTTGCCGTTTGTACTGATACCACCTGTGTTGTTCACGGAATTCGCCTTCTTCTGGAATGACAAATGTCTCAAACCTACATAACTGGACAACAAAAGGCTTAATCCTCTCTTCTTTTCAAATAGCATTTGGACTTCATCTTCTTTTTCAGCTATGGCTCAGTTATCGACTGGGCTGTTGCAGCTTCCCCAGACAACTTTTATTTTGTGAGTGGGAGGCTTAGATAACCGGGAATACTTAATTAAATGCAATATATTTTCCCAATGAATCCTCTATGGGGCATTCAATTTTTAATAGCATCTTAAGCTTAACTCTGGGACAACTGGTCGTGTATTTACTAACAGGCAGATTCATCACGGAGACACATTAACTCTGGTCCAAAGATGCTCCCGGATGGCTCTCCACATCTGCTATTGTATTTTTCCTCTTGGGCTCCCAATCAGTTGGGGAAAATTAGAACATTCTCACTGCACAGAGGCTCTGGTATAAACTTCAATCTTAACAGCGACTCAGTTCATGCCATAGAAATCCCTTTGAAATATTGAATTCCAAAATCCTTTACTACTGGGAAAATTAATAACAGTTCCATGGCCTTTTTTTCCCCCCTCCTGAGACTTTTAAATCAAAAGATTAACCTTCCAGTGCATTTGAAGGACTTCCTAAGAGATAGGACAGTCATGCATCTCAAGGGGAAGCTGTATGAGTATCTACTCATATGGTGGCTCACATTCCATTGACTGAAAGGAAACCTCTTCAGTATTGCACATATAAACAGAACAGTGATAATTAATTATTTCATACTTAAAATCATTTAAAAATTATTAAATAAAAATTATTTAATAAAAAGTTATTAAAATTTTAAACAAACATTTGAATAGAAAATACACTAAAATACTCTTATTAATATAATGTATGAAGAGTTTTTTTGTTTGTTGTTTTGTGATTGTTAGGGGTGCCGTGTGTGTGAAATGTACGCTGGGATTTTCCCCTACATTACATGAGGCAGCATAGCTTAAAGATGAGAAGCCAGACTCATCTGTGTCCTTTCTTGTGTGGAATTGTGAGTCCACACCATGAACTGACTGTGCATGAACTTGAGAAAGTCACTTAATCTCTCTGTATTATTGTTTATTCATCTGAAAAACATGGGATAGTAAAACCCCGCCTCACTGAGTTACTGTGAGAATTAAATGTATTATTAGACTATGTAAATTAGTAAGGCCAGTGCCCGGCACAGTGTGAGTGTTACATAAGTGTCAGCTTTTATTGTTGTATTATTATCACGTCATGGCAGAAGAAATGCTGTGTGCTCTCTACACCACTTGCTCTGCCACAACACCAGGAAGGTAATATTTTCTAGCTTTTCTCATAGGAAAGCCGTTGCCACATGACTGAATTCTGGCAAATGCAATATGAGTGAAAAGTATGTGTGGTTTCAAGTCTGAAGCATGTAAAGGGTCCGTTTACCTTCTTGATCCGACCCTTCTCCCAGCATGGAAGCAATGTGTTATGATGGTTCTGTTGAAAAACTGACTCCTCACCCATCACCCACACAACTGTTGACAAGATAAAGATAAAGGAGCATTGCCTGCTCCTATAAAATAGACAACTTCACAATCATAATTGAATAGTCCAGGATTGGTGAAAACAAGCAAGGGAAAGATTTTGAGGCAAAGGTGTAAAAAAATCTTAGGTTACGGTCTGTTGATACTTTCTAATGACGGGATTTTGGAGAAGTTCCTGTAATGAACAATCAAACCATTTGCTTTCCCAGGACAGGAGTAGAATAAGAAATGCTAATGATAAGCGTGAATACCGAAGTTATGGTAATTTAACAGTGAGGTGTGGCTCAGTTCTCGGTGTCCAGGCTAAGTGCCTGGATAGGTGATTTTGTTCTCAGTGGCATCAGAGATGGAGCAAATCTGGACCCCAGAGTCACTGGATGAAAGAGAGCTTCTACTAATCGGCATTAGACTTCAGGTGAACAAGAAATAAGTTTTTGTTTTATTAAAATGACAAATTTGGAGTTAGCACAGTCTAGCCTAGATTAAATTATATGGATAAATGCATATCAGTCATGAAAATGTATATGTGAGTGCTATGAAAACAAATGCAGAATATTGTTATGTACTGAAGAGTGTGTATGTCTCCCCAGCAGGTAGGAGAGAACTGAAGCATAGTAAAACTTCAGCATGCCCATAAAACTGGCAGTATTCACACAATTCAAAGATCTCTATATGCAAAAACTTCTGAAGGCACATTTAGAAAACAAATCAGGTTTGTGGTTTTGGTTTGTTTTATTTTCTGCTTCTTAATTTATAGTTTTGGCTTTCCAAAGATAGCCTTTAAATTATGGCAAAAAGAAATAGACTAAAATTTAAAAAAATTAAATGAATGTCAATGAACCTAACTTTTGCCATGGTTTATAAAATACAACCCCTAGATCTCCTGTATTAGCACAGACCCTCCACCTCTTTTGTTAGTGTCAGTTCAGAGTGGGAACCATGAAAATAGATGCTATGCAAATATCTGTCCCACATCTCTTTCCCCAAAAGATTCAGTCAATCCAGTCGTGACACATCCAGATGACTGCAGACAATTCCAGAAAAATTCTATGTGTACGCCAAAGATTCAGCTATGTAGAGTGTTACAGGTTCAGCAATTGTCTGTCTAAGACACAGTGGTTGCTTCCTAAAGGATGGATGCATCAAATATGTATGAATGGGTAACAGACACCCCATGAATATTTCTACAGCATTCAAGGATATTTGACAAGGCTGGCCATTCTGTGCAGGAAAATTCTATGTGTTAATGCTAATTTCTTGACCAATTCACTTGCTGTGACTTCTTAAATGTAGGTCACAGGCTCACCTACAGTTACTCCAAGGAATTCCTAGCTCAAAGAATTATTAGCAGCCTGCATAGTTTTAAAATACAGTTGCTGCCTATGATTTATAGCATACAAATTCTTTTTTTTTAAGTTATTGAAACCAAAGGAGCTTTATAGACTTTCCCAATTGACTGATAATAATGCATTTCTTACTACTACGTCTGAAGGGAATGCCTGAAAAAAATTATACTAATAAAATATTCAGATACTTTAAAGAAATTAGTCTGTAAACTCTGGGCTGGGAACATCGTGTGTTTCCTTTGTATCCCAGCTCCTAGAAATTGTACCCTGTACCCCAGGGCCTGTCATAAAGTGGAAGTATCATAGCTCAGTGTTTAAGAAGATACAGTAAAATGGGTCCAAGGACAATTCTTAGGGTTTTTGTAACGGAGTACGTAATGGAGGTAATAGGCAATACCCTAAACAGTGATAACCATCATTATTTTTATCAGTGTTCGATAAACCTATATTGAATGAAAGGTGCTGGTCTACCGTTGTGTATTACCTGCCCTATTGGTAGGTGCTTTGAACAGGAACAGATGTGCAGTTTAATGATGACCAAGAAGACAAAATTCTGGATGAAAGCTGTGGACCTATCTATGCCTTTGCCTAAAACTAAACTCTTTTTATTTGTTTTCTGCTTTTCTATTTCAATATTTTTGATGGACTCATTTTCCTGTATGGCAGTAAAGGGACTGACAAAATGCAGGGTTTTCCACAAGATCCCAAATGATCCAAATCTGAGTGAGATTGGGCGTTTAAAATAAAGCCGGGCACATCCTTTTGACATGGATAGCTTCTTAAGCAATTACACTGGAGTATCACAGGAGTGCACTTTAAATCTGTCTGGCATGGTTGCTCTTGTGTGTCTTGACTCCCGTACCAGGCTGGGAAAGCCTGGGGGAGAAGCATCACCTCTTCTTCACCTCCTTTCTCCCCACTGCCTAGTCCCTTGTAGGAGCTAAGCATGTAGTTTTTGCTGAATTGAGCCGCAGAGCTGAGTGTGGCAGCTGTTGTTGTTGGCATTGTCACACCTGTCTCTAGTCTCCTCAACATCCCAAGGGAAAGATCTGGGGCTGCGTCTCCCAGATATCTCTCCTCTGATAGAATTTACCAACGGAGAGGTGTGCTTACGCGATCTAGAAGGTGAATGAAGCCATTATTCCCAGCTTCAGCTGCAAAGAGACGTGTGGGCAGAGAGAGGACCAGAGTGCCACGGTGGTGCTTTGCTGCTGCAGGCAGCTGATGTCAAGGGGCAGGCTCTCCTGATGTTCCTGAAGTTCACAGCGGATTTTCAGCAGACTCCTGGGAGTCACAGACATGGGTTCTGCAGGCAACTGAGATCATCATGTTTTTCCTTAGATCTGATCATTCTTGATGTCAGGAACTCAGGCAGCAGCTTTCCTAACCTCTTCAATATTTGTATAGGCTTTTAATTTCCTGTATTACGTACTGCCACTTGGAGTACAATTATTGAATTTTGTTTTGTTTATAAAACTGATATACCGAGGGATAGAGAACCAACAGAAGAATTAATTTGGAGATTCTTCAATACTATATACGCATACATCATTACAAGATTAAAAAAGAAATTCTTGATAATTTCTTGCCTTTTAGTGGTAATGCATAGCTGGTAGCTGCAAACTAATGTTTGTAGGATTAAGCAATCAGCAACACAGACCAGAAGAAGTGCAGAGCTAAATGCAGTCATACGTGGCTTTTCACCAGCAACTCACAATCATCTCTAAGCCTGCCAATCTTCCTAGATTGCCAGTTAGCTGAGAAAGGTCTCACAGAGGAAAGGGAGGTTATGTCACCTTGCTAATCAAAGGTATTGTCACTGGTGTGACCTGGGTGCTTGCTGGAAACACAGAACCTTGGGGTTTTTCTGTCAGGATCCTGAGGTGGTTAGTACGTGCATTAATACTGAGAACCACTGCTAGGGAGGATTTGTTACAACACAGAATGCTGGTTCCACCTCCAGAGTTTCAAATTTAATTTGTTTAGGGTGTGACCTAGGCATCAGAATATTTAAAAGCTCCTCAGGGATTATTCCACTGTGCAGCCAAGTTTGAAAGCCTCTAGCAGAGCCATTCTGGTCTGGTCTGAATACCTACAGGAGATTTGGCATGGCTGGTGAGTTAACTGTAATGGAATTTGTTTCCATTTGTTTCCAGGTGCATTTTATCCAAAATAGCTGCACTGAATCCAAGTCCTGGGCTCTTCTACAACGACTGGGCTGTTTGGACTTCTGCCAGCATTTTATGGGGTTGCCTGGCTAAGCTAGCACTCCATTGTCTAGTTCCTCCTAAGCACTATGGCTGCAATTCAGTTATTAGCTTCAAAGTAAATGGATGCTTTTTGGAGGTGGTCTAAAGAGCTAGTCTTTCTAAAAACATGGGGTATTCGTTTCCTATTACTGCTGTTAGAAATCACCTCCAATTTAGTGGCTTAAAACAACA